TGGATTTAACTCCATTCACCACCACTTTCTGTGCTCGGCCATCCAGCCAGTTCATTACCCAGCAAAGAGTACACCCATCCAAACCACGGGCAGCTAGTTTCTCCAGGAGGATGCTGTGGGCATACAGGGACCCTATTTCTTTTTCTGCATCTAACTAAAAGTACTTGTTGAATATTTTGTCTTCTTATTTCACATTTCTGCCCTCATTTCACCACCAACTAGGATATGCTTTGATACCGTTTTCTTCCTTAACTACGAACTCATGGCTACTCAGACATCTAACACATTCTTCTCTCCCATTTTCCATCAGGGCTTTTCCTCACCATCCAACTCACTCAATAGTCTTCAACTTTGGGGAAATGGCCAATCTGAGGAACCAAAACCTCAACGATTGTTGGGGCTGTCCTCTGCCAGGCCCCAAAGGTGAGGTCAGCTCACAAGCACCATTTCTTTGGCAAGGACCAGCTCCCCCTTCAGGAATTCATTCATCTTTTTGCAGTCAAAGTGGGGTGCAAACCAGGGTTGTGTCGTGTGGGGCACAAAGTCTGTTCAAGTCAGAAAGATTTATCTAAATTTTAAGATGTTGTGAAGTGAGTGCAAGGTGACAAGCAGCACCTGGGACACCTCGAGCCAACGCCGTGACCCAAGCAGAGCCCAGCCACACGGATCACTGACCTGCAGGTCTCTTGGTCAGGTTGAGGCAGTCTGCATGGTACACCTTGGGGCAGCCTGGCTTCTTACAAGAAACTAGCTGCCCTCCGTCCCCACAGCTGAAACACTCGTCCTCTCGCTCCTTCATCACCTCCGCCTGCGACCTGCGCTTCATCTGCGGCCGTCTCTTTAGCTTCTTGGACTTTTCCTCGGTGAGGTTGGGTTGGCTCTGCGGGTGAGACAATGTCAGTTAATGCAGGTCTCTGCCCCTTCCATCTGTTCCCTTCCTGCTAGAGTGGAGATAACTGCAAACCCCACTAATAAAAATCCCACTGTCAGCCATGTCTGCAACGTATGTAGCATCTCTACAGTGCTTCTTAACATTTGGCAATTGATTTACTATAGCAAATAGTTCTCATTTTTCTAAAAAGAGTCTGGAAGCCCTGCATGAAAGCCTGATCAAACATGTGATATATGCAATTGGCAAAAGCAGAACAAGGAGCCAAGGGCTGCCTGGCATTGCTGAGCTTGTGCCACCTCTCAAGGACTCTTATGATCCTCAACCAAAGCAGCTGGGTCTCCTTGCACCCGTCACTCTCATGAGGAGTCTTTCCCAGGCCTTCCTGCACTTTTTGATGTTCCTCACTCCTCTCTCCATTTTCAGTACATGAATTTACATGTAATCGTTTTAGACCTATCTGTTTTTGTGTCAATGCTGCTCTCGTTCTGCAGTTTTTCTCTTCTGAAGTAACCACTGGGACACACTCTCCTCACAAACCAAACACTTTCATAGTCTGCACCTCAATCCTCCTAATGGCTTTTCTCTGCCTCTGTTGAGTTTACTTCTCCCACACACAAGTTGCAGAATTATACACGCTACTTCAGATGACGTCCCACACGCCATGTACAATGACATCAACTCTTCTCCAAAAGAATGGGAAATCCCTCCCAAAACATCGCCTGCGTTTGCCTTTTTCACAGCTGCATCACCAATAGCAGCTCAGTCCTGCGGTGGCTGAACTGCATAACGGCTCCTTCCCCACCACAACTGCCCACCCATGACCTTCCCATGGCAGATGTGTTTCTGCTGTTACCTCCCAGGTGTGTATTCTGGTGTACTCAATCTCTGAACTCCAGCCCCTTCCAGTTGTACTCAGTCCTTTGCAATTGCCCCATCTTCTCCCTCTCCACACCGATGACACCTGACATCTTCGTGTCATCAGTACAGTTAAATTACCAGGCTTCCACCAGCTGTGTTGCAGGCAGTGATGAAATAACTACAACTGGTCCCAAGACTGGCATCTACACGGCCCAAGTGCTGTCTTCACCCCAGGCTCGGTCCTCAGACCACTCCACAGATCCTGTCTGGCCAAAGCCTCCCTTTGTCCCTACCCCTCAACTCCAAAGACGATGCTTCCTGTGCCCAGTCAGGGGCCTTATCAAGTCAAGACTTTAGTCTACCTAAACAGACATGAGCTAAATTTTATGCCATTTTCCACATATCTTCGTATCCACACAGGCACTCTCCATGTAGAACATCTCTGCGTGCTGAGACGATGCCTACGAGGTGATTTTTGCATCCTTTTGAATTCTGCACAAATATTGGGTGCTATTTTCATCATCAAGACTAAAACCAAACACACCAAAACATTTAGAAATCTTTGTCTCCAGACCTACAATTTCAGAATTTGGCAGCGGTGGTTATCCAGCTGTCCTGCCACCAGGGAGTTACATCTGGATTGTTTCCTTCCCCTTCACATGTGGATATTGCTGTCTTCATACCGTCATTCCCACTGACAATGGGGACAAGTCAGGCCTTTCTTATCAGTGAAAATGCAGCCAGTGGAATCACTCCACCTGAACTATTCTACCTATTCTCAGCGCCTAGTATCTCAGCCATCTAATCACAAAGAGAACAAGAAAAACCTTTCACAGCTAATTTGAATGTCTAAGCAAGGTCTAACAGCTGGACTAAGTGCTTCCCACTTGCTCACTGCAGTACAATAGACTCCCAAGAATTCTTCCACACTGGCAGTTAGAAAGGTCACTTTTAAGAGTGAATCTGAGTACAATCAGCGAAGTTTTGTCTTGCTGTATCTTCGGGAAGCTTAAAAACACATCTGTTGTGGGATGAATTGGAAAAAAAACCCAACAAGGTACTGTTTTCTTGGGTATTGTTTCTTAGCCCATCTCATCAAGATGGAATGAGTCGCCTCAGGCATCACAATGGAACATTAATGCCAACTAAAGGGCACCTTTCTCTGATCTCCATCATGCAACCTGCAATTTCAGGGCAAAAATGACAGTCAAGCCATGTATAACAGCAGCAGCACAAAATCAACTGAACTTTAAATCACAACCCAAAAAAGAACTAAATACATCAGATGTGTAACTCACTTCATCTGTCAGCTTCTGAAGACATGAATTTTTTTAATCTTAGTTTTTCTGCAGAACTAAGCTCTCTGGAGAATTCACAAAACCTTCCCTATATATTGATTAACAACTGTGCTGCTGGAGCTTTTAACCCTTAACGGTGGGTAAGTAAGCTGCCAGTATCCACACGCCAGAGCAGAGGGATTACCGACCGATTTGGTGAAGCTCTTGAAACAAACCAACAGCTGAGACAGATTTAGCTGGTGACAGCTGGGAATTCAGCCAACTGCTCCTTTTGTTTCCTTTTCCCAGTGAGAATCGGCTAACACAAGAAGCTAACTGAAATCAATTCCTGTTACTGCAACTTTACAGTTAAAACATGAAGCTCTCAAAAGTCAGCAAGTTCTAAAAGCTAGTGTTTTTTCTACTACAGATATGGCAAATTTCTTATTCCTGTCTGATGTGTGCACTTCAGTCACTTAACCAAAAGAAGGCAAAAAGCCCAGGAACTTTCTTATTGCAGCAAGACAGTGTAAAAGCCGTCTGGCTCTTAAAGCAACTCCAAGCCTGAAGGAATGTGAGTTTCCTGGCCTTCCATGCATGCTCATAATTTACTCCGGTCTTTACTCTCGGAAGTGGGCTGAGCTGTGGTTTCTTGGTTATACAATGCAAGTCCTTCCCATGCCTGTCCTTTGCCCCTCTAACGTGATGGAAATTGTCATGCTAGTACACGGAAAATTCTGGAAAAAATCTTTCACTTACTCTTTTGTTTTAAAATACAATTTTCTGTCATTATTTATAGCAACTCTAACAATTCAGGTCTAAGATCTGCACTCTCAGAATGAAAACTTGGATATTCAACTCATTTCAAGCAGAGTTTTCATGGCCACACTAAAACTAGATTACCCTTCCCAAGGTCTCTGCAACTAATGATATGCATCTATGCAAAGAGCCGATTTGGAAGAACAAAAGCTTAAAGAGGCATCATACCTTTGGCCGTACTCCTAGGAAGCCACTGCAGTTTGGGGCACCACACTTACAAACGGTCTTTCCATTTCCCAAACACTCCAGATTGTAGTTGAAAGTCAGCTCAGTCCCTGGCACAAAAGCAGATCAAAACCAAGCAAGTTGTAATGAACTATGGGGCAGAACATCTTACAGCTGAAGTAAAAGCACTTTCGAAATACAATTACACAAATGACTGTCACAGCTATGCAAGGATACCAGCTATTAATCTCCCCACAGATCTGTGTGGACTGACAATTCAGTGCAGCCCCACACTCCCACCACACACTACAGCCAAAGAGGGCATTCAACTCCACGCTGTAGCACGCTTACTTCCACTTCTTGACCCTGTTAATTAGAACTATGAACCTCCATTTATACCATGGATGTATGTGTTTCATTACGTCAGCACTGGTGTTAAGTCTTGTGATTGCCTATGTGAACACACAAATTAAGTATCTTCCCAGGGAGCTACAAACCCTTCCCTTTCCTTACAGAAACCCTCCCAGCTTTTAACTGCAGGTACTGACCGAGTGGGGTTCCTTACCAGCTTTGATATTTACAATTGCGAAGAGCCCAACCCGAGTATCGCCATTCACACACCATTTCTGAGTCTCACAGTTTGGCTGGCAGCAATGGTTCATGAATCGAGCGTAATTGCCCTTTGGCCCAGCATCAATGATTCGATCCTGGAATTGCAAAAAAACCCCAGAAAAACACATTCAATAAACTGCCACTTCCCGCTCAAGCTGTCACAGCACAGGTACCAGTACACCAGGAAAGCATTCATCAGTACTGAAAACTACGACAACGGAGGCATCTGACAACACTTGCGAAGCACCTGAGCTCGTAGATGTGTTTTAACCAAGCGTAAGGGACAGGTGTCGTTGTGTTGCCTGGACAACCGACAAACACCCAAACAGTTTCCACACGCTGATGTCTCCGGTCCAGGCTGGCAGATCATACGGCAATACAGTCTCCTGCACACCACCATCTTCCTCTTCAAAGACAGACAGGCTCCTGAACAGCCAGTGAAGCGCTGCTGCTGCTTTCTGGGAAGTCAGCTCTGCCTGCGGTGTCAGCACTGGATAAACACCACACCAGCACACTTCCAAGGCAGTACCTGCGGTTCCAGACTCTGACTTCTGCTTAAAAGCAAAATACCAGTTCCTATTTCCTGTATGTCAATGCACAGAAGGAAAACAGGAACAGCACATGACACGTGAGGTGCACCTCTGTACGGTACGCTACCATTCGTTAGACCGTGTTAGAGAGCAGAGGGCAGCTGCAACTGAGATTTCGTTTTGTAATAATGAGGGAGATACTGGTACGTGGTTCTGCCCCTGCTCCCACTCGTCAGCCAGATGATGAGAACAAGACACGGTCAGTGCGAATTTCCAGCGAGAGGGGAGAGCCAGCAAGCAGTCACTGTTATCCTGTCCCACACTCGACAGCTTCTTCCCATGCCTGCTTTCATGGTTTCCTTCTAATCTTTTCCAAGGTTGAGGGACAAAGTGTGGAAAGCAGCTGACAAAACTACTTATTCTCCAAAAGCCAGGAGCTCACAGCAAGAACAACCTGGCCTCCAGGACCCATTGAGGAGTCTGTGCGTTTAACAAACTCTGTCCCTCTACTTGCATCAGAAAGACCTGGGATCTAACTTCAACAAAGGTCTCACTGTGCCTGACACAGATCTGAGGGCCAATGCCTTCTCTGACACTCGCCAGCCCAGTTCTGGACTCTCCAGGGTCCGGCGGCTGGGAAGCATCCTGAGGTTACCAAATTCACCCTGTTATGCTGGAGCAGGATCTACAGTCCTCAGACAATTGCGCTCAGACAACTGCCTCACCTCTTCGGAATAAACTCTGAAGAAGATGGTTCAGATTTTCCTCCTAATATCCAACCTGAAACTTCTCTACTGCATGTTTAGTTCATTCTTTTAAGTCTTCTTGTCAGTGGAAATGCAGACCAGCTCATCAGCAACCATTAGCACCGATTTAGTTGCTGGAGAAGACCACTATCATGCCTTCCTTGCAATCATTTTACTTTTGCCTAGGATCCTGATGAGAAATTCCTTCTACATACCTTATCCAGTGTCAACATGTAGAAGTTGGTGATGTCATGCTCCTGAGCATAGCGGATTCGAGCTCGGCACTCCTCCTCATCAATTAGCTCCCCAACATACTCATTAACAAATTCGCCCTGCCACAGAGAGAACAAGGTGAGACAAATTGCCTCCAGGATGGAGGGACATCCACCTTCGTGCTAAAACTTAGTTCCCGTTTCCTTTGTGGAAATCTTTTCATCAAAATCTTCCTCTGTGCTTTGCAGCCGGTTTGACCTATAATCTTCACGAAGAGCCCCAAATCGTACATACGTTTCATGCATTCAACAAATAACTTGAAATAAATTAAATAAAGGAACAACGGCCATCAGGCTATTCTTTGTGCTATGGACAGAATGAACATTTATGGACAGCACAAAAGTAAACCACAAGACCAGCTCTCCGCTGCTCAGCTCAAAGCACTGCGTAACTGCATTCCAGGCGGACACAGCATCCCTTTGGGGACCAACCACACTGGGCAGCATGACGCACCTAGGGCACCTACTCCTGCAGCGAGCCCGTGGAGCTCCCCTGTAGTGAAGTACTTCAGAGACCACGCTTCAGCCCTCAAAGGGAAGCCCAGCTCTGCTCTGCTGGGTAGCAGGTGCCTCCATTAAATAACTCAGTTCTACTGTTTCCAGACTGCTCAAAGTGAAACATTGCAGGTGCATGCAATGGCAGACATCCTTTGACCTATATCACAGCAGACACAAAGCCTAAGCAGGACAGACTCACGTTTTTCCTTCTGCTAGCAAGCCCTCCCTCTTAGCATGTTGTCCCTACTCCTTTTTCAGACATTCTTCTCCTACTATGCTAACTGCCCTCTGTTTCACTTCACCCTTTCTTAGATTTGGGGTCTTCTTCGCTTTAACATTCTTCCTTCTTCATTCAACACAGATGTCTGTCCACAGAACTACTGTTCTCTGGATTTAAAAAATATATACACAAGTGTTTTAGCTGGAGATACCAGTCTCAGCAATAGTAATAGCTATCTCCAAACCATCACCCTTTCGTAAGAGCCAAGGCCTGGCTTCAGTTTCTGATACAAGATTCTCATGCTGGAAAAGCCTGGCTATTCAGGAATGGAGGGGAGGTTTAATCACTGTTCCCCATGTGGAAATCCTAAGCACTGTCTTCAGGCCAGTGTTCTGGTGTACTCATAAAGCCCGTCGTCCATATAAGCAGACAGATCAAGCAATCATCTTTCTACCCTGTGGGACATCATCATGCAAACCATTTTCTCGGATAGCTGAGCCAGAACATTCTTGTCAGGACTGGAAAAGTTAACTTCATCCATTTCTTTCCTAAATGGCGTTCTACAGCAAGAAGTCTTCTTCAAATTATGGGAAGTTAGTAATTTTTCAAATCTACTGAAACCAACACCGAGCAAGAGAGAAGTGCCAAGAGAAAATTACATGCAGAAACAGAGCATGTACCTTTCTGATGTCTGTTTTGGCTTGCAAGCCCCAGCCTCGTGCCAGCGTGCGGAAAATTTGTACCTCGGGATACTGCCGCTTGGAGAAGCACTGGTTCTGGCAGCGCTCCCCAGCAGGGCAGACCATGGGGTGGCACTCATAGAGCAACATGCGATTGATGCATTCGGAGTCCAGGCCACATGGGTTTTCATCTGTTGGTTTGCAGTTGCAACGTGGTATCTCAGACAGGTCTGCAGTGAAGATCTGCACCTTCCCCACCGGCCGGTTCACCTTGAATGCACACAAAGGACTTTAGCTCCTAAGAACAACAGGTTATCTGATAGTCACTTCTACACTCAGCCCTTGCCTACGAGCCGACAGGCTGCAGCGTGAGTTAGTTACAGAGAGGGGCAGAAGGACACAACTACAGGTACATTTGTACTTCTGGACATACTATTTCAAGAGGTATATTGGTAAAGCAAAGAGATAAGGAGGATGCAGGTCCCGCATTAGCATCACCTGGTGCAGTGTGTATTCTGTGAGCCCGGAGCGGGGAGAGGCTGCCAAGTGTGTGTCCATCCGCCCCATCACCAATGTGCTGACATCCACCCCAGGTGGCCCAGCACTCTCGCTGGGTGCACACCATACCTGTGACCAACACCAAACCATTTTCTGCATGAAACAGCACCTTCTCCAGTCTCCGAGTGTCAGACCCTTTTCCTTACAGCCCTGCTTTTTTAATCTGTTACCTTCAAGCTGCGTTTTGCTGTCAGCTGTCACTATGAGAACCAGGCTGGCACACCCGTGACAAGAGTACACAGGGCCTACCTACGCAACACGCCACAAGCCGATAACC